AGTGTCATTGATCAGTGAACAGATTTTTACTGATCACTGTATCAGTGTCGCTGGCGACTTCCGATAGTGTTAGTGCCCCTCCCAGATAGCACCAGTTTGCCCGCTAGTGCACCAGAAATCCCATTTAACCCCTTGATCGCCCCCCTCCCCCCCCCCCCCCCCAGTTAACCCCTTCACTGCCCTGTCACCAGTGTCATTGATTACAGTGAACAGATTTTTACTGATCACTGTATTAGTGTCACTGGTGACTTCCGATAGTGTTAGCGCCCCTACCTAGATAGCGCCAGTTTTGCACGCTAATGCACGGGATTTTTTTTACCAAAAACATGTAGCAGAATACATTTTGGCTTAAATTTATGACTAACTTTGAGTTTACGATATTATTTTTTATAGCTGAAAGTAGAAAATATTGTTTTTTTTTTTTTTTTTTTCCAAATTTTCGTGGTTTTTTTTGTTTATAGCGCAAAAAATAAAAAGCACACAGGTGATCAAATACCACCAAAAGAAAGCTCTATTTGTGTGAAAAAAAGGACGTAAATTTTGTTTGGGTACAGCATTGCATGACCGCGCAATTATCATTTGAATTAGTGCAGCGCTATATAGCAAAAAAAGGCATAAATTACAGTATCTATACCATAGTTTGTAGACGCTATAACTTTCACACAAAGCAATCAATATACACTTATTGGGATTTTATTTACCAAAAACATGTAGCAGAATACATTTTGGCTTAAATTTTATGACTAACTTTGAGTTTACGATATATTTTTTATAGCTGAAAGCAGAAAATATTGTTTTTTTTCAAAAGTTTCGTGGTTTTTTTGTTTATAGCGTAAAAAAATAAAAAGCGCACAGGTGATCAAATACCACCAAAAGAAAGCTCTATTTGTGTGAAAAAAAGGACGTAAATTTCATTTGGGTACAGCATTGCATGACCGTGCAATTATCATTTGAATTAGTGCAGCGCCAAACAGCAAAAAGAGGCCTGGTCATTAAGGGGGGTAAATCCTCTGGAGCTCAAGTGGTTAAAGCATTTGATCACAGCAAGATCAGATGCTTTTCCAGTTTTAAAATGGTGCTGTTTATATTCAGCTCAAGAAAGCCATGGAAGGCGGGGGGGGGGGGGGTAGACATCCCTTCCCACTACTTGTAAAAGCAATCCAGTGGCTAATTAAAGTTAACAATGTGGGGGTAATTTACTAAAACTGGTGCACTCAGAATCTGGTGAAGCTGTGCATGGTAGATACATTTTCCAATTGAGACTGATGATTGAATGGTAGGGATGTTTTTTTGATTCCGATTGAATTGTAATTAGTGCAATATGGTGGGAGTATAGCGGAGGTAAGTCCAGTCATGTCACTCCTGATGACATCATGCTGACAAAACACGTAGAGACTTCCGCAACTTGTCACTCCCACTTACTGGAACGCAGGTTGTATACAAACCGACATTCCTGTGTATATTTACATGTGATTTTATTTCTTGTAAGTGACTTTTTTCATTAAAAAGATGGTGCTACACTATGAGAGTTTATTTTATCTCTCTCCTGGATATACTACTGAGTCCTTTTAACGGCATAGGAGAACTGTTCAAGTACTCAGTCCATGTATTTATCCACCTGTACAAGAGTGGATTGGAGGCCCATTGGAATACAACAGCCACTTGTGGAGATGATCAGCTGGTGATTGAGGTGTGTTTCTGTGTGGTGAAGAGGAGGAGCATGGTCTATGGTGGCACAGATTTATCACCTTTTATATCGATTAAATTTGCACTGCTGTTTGGACTTTATTAAATTTTACATGGACAATTTATTGTATTTGTGATTACACTTTTTTTCTTTATTCACACATTTGTTTGGGAAGTGTAGGAAAGCACGGTCAGCCCTTTTTCTTGATATCTTGGCGTTTGATGATGAGCAGCTTTCATTTTCATTTATTAATTTAATATTTTGTGTAAAATCCCAGTTTGGGTGTTTATTTATTTATTCTTTTTTTTTAATTCACATTTCTTTAGGTCTTATTTATTTGCATATATTTGCATGGGTGTGGGGCAATTAATCTAACTTCAGCTTGTTCATTTAAGCTTTGACAATTAAACCTGGAAGCTGATTGGTTTCTGTACAGAGCTGTTCCAGATTTTGTACCATGTAGTTTTAGTAAATAACCACCCATGAATCACCTATGAATTTGCATAGGAATGCACAATGCATTCCTGTACAATTCACATGCGATTCAGTGTGGTGCGATTTGAGCCTAATCATTTTTAATGGGCTCAAATCACACCACATCACACCACTACTTTTGGAAATGCACTGCAACTGGATCACATGGTAGTTTTGTACCATGTGATCTGGAGCAGAAAAACAACTGCTTTTCTACCTATGTTTGGGTGTCATTAATAATCTCAATACCAGACACTTTTACCCCCTTCCCACCCAGGTCAGTTTTCAGCTTTCAGAACTCTCACACTTTGAATAACAATTGCGCAGTCACTTAACGCTGTACCCAAACTAAATTTTTATCATTTTGTTCACACAACTAGAGCTTTCTTTTGGTGGTATTTAATCACCACTGGGTTTTTTTATTTTTTTGCTAAATTAAAAAAAAAGACATTTTCTTTGTTTTCTGTTATAAAATCTTGAAAATAAATAATTGTTCTTCATAAATTTAGGCAAAGATGTATTCTGCTACATTTCTTTGGTGAAAATAACCCAAATCAGTATTTATTATTTAGTTTGTAGGAAAGTTCTAGAGTTCACAACTATGGTATATCTGAAAATTGATCAATCCTGATGTACTGACAGCCAATCTAATTTCTTGAGGTCCAAAAATGTCAGGACAGTACAGATATCCCCCAAATGACCCCTTTTTACAAAGTAGACAGTCTGAGGTATTTAGTAAGAGGCATTGCAAGTTTTTTTGAAGTTGTAATTTTTTGCCATAATGTTTTGGAAAATGAAGATTTTCACAATTTTTTTTTTTTTACATACTGTCACCAGTGCAGTACAGCGTCATCATATAACTGGTGTGGTGTGGTGGTGATCAGGGACACTGACTGGTGACAGTATGAAAAAAAAATTACTTTTTTTCTTTTTTTTACAATTATTTTTATAACACACTATGACCAGAGTAGTGTAATGTTACAATAGGGAAGGGATCAGAATTTATTTGCTATAAGCAAGCATTTAATTGAATGAAATCGATTCATTCGGGTTTTTGTTGTTGTGATTAACTGTGATTGGCCACAGCTAATCACTTCACACAGATGGTCTGTGATTGGCCCAGTCTATACATGTGATCACTGTGACCAATCACAGCTAGTGAAACAATTGTAAACAATGGATGTCATGAAAGGAAGCCACCCATTGTTTACAATTATTATGTGACCTGCTGAGATTGGTCGCAGCTGTCACATGGTACTGGCAATGGGCTGGTACACAGATCTGTCATTGGCTGTATCCGAGGTACACAGTCAGTGACAGGTGTCATCACAGCGTGGCCCTGCGGGCACGCCCGAGACGCAGTCCCGGAGGACGTCATTTTGCTATGAAATGTCATTTACAGGCAATTTAAAAAATTTTTTGCCCTTGTCAGTGCTGCTGCAGCACCTTCTGTACATCACAAAGATGTGCCTCTTCACAGGCAGAATTAGGGAACCTCCCAGGCATGGTATTTAACCACTTGCCTACCGGGCACTTGTACCCCCTTCCTGCCCAGGCCAATTTTCAGCTTTCAGCTGCCACACTTTGAATGACATTTTGCACTATAAACAAAAAATTTGAAAAAAATAAGTTTTTCTTGTTTCTATTATAACATTTTGCAGGTAATTTTTCTCCTTCACTGATGTGTGTTGATGAGGTGGCACAGATAAGCAGCACTGATGGGCACTGATAGGCTGCACTGATGAGGCGGCACTGGTGGACATTGATGAGGAGGAACTGATGATGCTGCACTGATATGCAGCAATGATGGGCACTGATAGGCGGCAATGATGGGCACTGATAAGCGGCACTGATGGGCCTAAAAATGTTTTTCTCTGAAGTTAAAGCTGAAGTTAAATCTGCTTGTATTTTGCCTTCCTTGGCTCCTCCCTTTCCCCCTCACCAACATGCATTATTTTTTTATAAACCTTTCCTGTTTTCATTACATACCTTATATTCACTTGGCAATCTGACCAGTAAATTTGTTTTTATTCAACTCAATTCAAGCAGCACTAAAATTACAACATTTACCTCCTCTCCAATTGGCAGCGTGGCATCTTCTCCCCAGCTTATTCCAGGTGCTGGCCTTTGGTTGTCTGGATTGGTAAGCGTGCGATGGTGTAACGCCTGCGCAGCTTGGTTTACATGCCACAAAAAACTGCAAGCAGGCAGGTTTATTTTATTGCAGAAAAGACATTGGTGTGTCTGTGCTACATAATCTGCCTGCCTGTAACTTTAGGAATTTTTTATTTTTATTTTAAACAGTCCAAGCTGTCCAGTAAAAGCGGCAATTAGATTATTGAGACAACCCATTTAACATTGAGAGAAGACCATCCTTTTTTTCTCACCCTTGCAAAGTACGCATCAGCTCTCAATGTTGTTGACCATGTCCTCTATAACTATAATTCCATCTAAATCCACTCATCCATCTAACACTACCCGCTCCACAGGTTGAAAATGTGGCTGTCCGAGGGTGGCTACACTGCTCCTTCATACACACAGTGGAGGAGTTGGTGTTGCCACCCTAAGACAGGAAGTGTGTTACTGTCTGGATCACCAGGTGAAAATAAAAAAAAAAGTAAACTATTGCAATCATCAAGTCTGAGGATTGGTCCAGGGGTGGCGAACACGCGGCTCTCGAGCCGCGTGCGGCTCCCGGCCAAAATGAATGCGGCTCTTTGCCTCTTATCATATTTTGTATACTGTGGCTCTTTGCCAAGTTTCATGTTTCTCTTTTTTTTACCTGTTCCTCTATCCAGCGGCGCGCTGTCTTCCGGCTTCTGTAGTGTGGGCACTGGGCATGACAGCCGGGTGCCAAGTGCGCATGCGCAAGAAGCGGTGCTTTTTGTGAATGGTAAGGCGGTACCTGGGACACATGACAGATCCCATAAGCCGCCAGACCAATCACAAAGCGCAAGTGCTTCTCGCTCATGCGCACTGGGCACCCGGCTGTCATGCCGAGCGCCATTACAGAAGCCGGGAAGACAGCGCGCGGCTGGATCGAGGAACAGGTAAGATCAAACAAAAACTCTGCGGAAGTAAGAGCGGGTACCTGTCAAATTCAGGTACCCGCTCCCCACCTCCCCAAAGGTCAGCAGTCATCCCTGTGCTGTCCGCAGTCTCTGGTCATCCCTGTGCTGTCCGCAGTCTCTGGTCATCCCTGTGCTGTCCGCAGTCTCTGGTCATCCCTGTGCTGTCCGCAGTCTCTGGTCATCCCTGTGCTGTCCGCAGTCTCTGGTCATCTCCTGTACTGTGTCTGCAGTCCATTAGTTCAGAATTTTTTTTTTTGTATACTTGTGTGTTAGAGTGAGAGAGAGAAGGGAGAGAGAGAGAGAGACAGGTGCCACAGCAACCTCCAGGGTAGTTGATGTGTTAACTCTGGCTAAGTTGCATTTGATGTGTGTGTTGAGGGTGGACACTTACCTTGAAATGAACACATTGTTGTTTTGTAAGGGGAAGAAAGTGTTATGGTGAATAATATGGTTTTAATTATGTGTTTTTGTGTGAGTGTTTGTCTGTTTTGGCAGGTCACTGCGTGGTGTGGCTCTCTGACTTTCCCAGTTTAAAATTTTGGCTCTTTGTGTCTAACTTGTTCGCCACCCCTGTGCTATACAGTTTATTACATTTTTGTTTTTAAGTTTAGATACACTAAACTAGTGTGGACCAGTAGTGGTAGGTGTTTGTCTGCAAACAAAACCTCAAAAGGGACCCATCGTATAGCTACTTATAGGTATCTACCAAAACTGTTAAAGACCACCTATTCTCTCTTTCTAGACCACAAACAAAACAGCAAACCACTGGATGACCTTGCAGGCCTTTATGATTATTTTTAGTTAATCATTTCAGGGCAAAATTTATATTTCAGTTGATATGTGAAATATATATGGGCTACTTACTTGGACTTTCAGTATCTTTCTCTTCTCTTTGGACGCAATACAACTAGTGATAGGATACAAATGCACCACCTAATATTTATAAGGGAAACTGCTCCTCTGGGAATAATCTACTTCTGAACTGGGTTTAGTAACATTTGACTTAATCATATCCTTATTCTCCAAATATAATCCACATATATCCACCATTTATTGGCCCTGTAATCTATTTTTCACTAAATCATTTTCAGTTGTGTTTTTCTGCCTCCTTTTAACATCCTCCCTGAGCTCCTGAACTTCTCCTTTTTCCCTTACTTCCAACTGTTTGGAATGAGCAGTGCACGTTAGCTGCAGTCAAATGCACTGCTCTATACACACTACACATCGCATAATCTACAGTCTCTAGCCCATTTCAGAAGTTGGCAAGAGAGGGTAGCTATGTTCCTACATACAGTGGGATCATGGAGAATGAATGTAGCAACTCTAGAACAGGAAGTCAGGTCACAGCAACCAAAAAAAACTGAATTTGGATTTTTGGAGTAGCCTTAGAGCGGGTGTCGGCAACCCGCGGCTCCGGAGCCGCATGCGGCTCTTTTTCACCTTTCCTGCGGCTCCGGAGCACACTGCCCACCAGGTGACAGGCAATAGGGTCGGCAAGCCGCGGCTCTTTTAATGTAGATCTTCTGTGTGCCGGGCGCCCGCTGGCAAACATTGGCTGTCAGGATGTAGGCGGGGCAGCCCGGATGTAGGCGGGGGCAGCGTGACGAACTCCTCTCCTCTCACAGTCCGCCCTGAAGACCAGAACGGCGCGGGAACCCAGCGAGAGGAACGCGCGGAGCAAAGGTAAGTGAATTCACACAATATGGGGAATGAATTACTATGGGGGATGAATTACTATAGGGGGGATGAATTACTATAGGGGGGATGAATTACTACGGGGGATGAATTACTACAGGGGGGATGAATTACTACAGGGGGGATGAATTACTACAGGGGAGATGAATTACTATATGAGGGATGAATTACTATATGAGGGATGAATTACTATATGGGATGAATTACTATGGGGGATGAATTACTATGGGGGATGAATTACTATGGGGGATGAATTACTATAGGGGGGATGAATTACTATAGGGGGATGAATTACTATAGGGGGGATGAATTACTATAGGGTGGATGAATTACTATAGGGGGGATGAATTACTATATGGGGGATGAATTACTATATGGGGGATGAATTACTATAGGGGGGATGAATTACTATAGGGGGGATGAATTACTATGGGGGATGAATTACTATGGGGGATGAATTACTACGGGGGATGAATTACTATATGGGGGATGAATTACTATATGGGGGATGAATTACTATAGGGGGGATGAATTACTATAGGGGGGATGAATTACTATGGGGGATGAATTACTATATGGGGGATGAATTACTATATGGGGGATGAATTACTATATGGGGGATGTATTTTCAGTTTTAAAAATGTTTCTCTCAAAATAAATTTCAATCGTGGTTTTGGCGAGATTTGGCTCAGTCGAAAAAAAAGGTTGCCCACCACTGACCTAAGGCTATGATTGTGATTATGACTATACACTGTGGCCCTGATTAACCCTTTGCTTACTGGGCCCTTAAACCCCCTTCATGACCAGAGCGTTTTTTGCAATATATGCAGTGTCGGATTTTTTAAATGTTGCAATGGTTTTGCGGCTCCCAGTCTTTTTTTCCCTCTCGGAAATGGGTCCAAGTGGCTCTTTATGTCTTAAAGGTTGCAGACCCCTGCCTTAGAGGAACATACGGTACTTTTTGAGCTATGAATACATACTTACAGTGAGACTAAAGCTTCATATATTTTTGTTTGTTTGTTTGTTTGTTTTTTAATAACAAACATGTCATACTTACCTGCTCTGTGCAGTGATTTTGCGCAGAGCAGCTCCGATCCTCTTCATTTCCCCATTGGTACTCCTCGCTTCTCCCCCTCAAGTAGTGTCCCCAGGGAAAGTTGCTTGCCCTGGGGGCACTGCTGCATGCTCATCCTCAAGCCGCATCCATAAGATGCATAGAGCAGCATCTTGGCCCCGCCCTTTCTCCTCATTGGTTCACTGGCTGTGAATGACAATGTCTCATCCAATGGGGAGATAGCGTCCCCGGACAGCAGAGGCTGTCGAAAATGTCGCTGGATCAGAGAAGGCACAGGTAAGGTTTGGGGGGGCTTATGCACACAGAAGGTTTTTTACCTTCATGCATAGAATACATGAAGGTAAAACACTTTGAGCCTTTAGAACCACTTTAAATGTCATTTTCTTTTTTTTTAGAAGCAGTGTTTAGTGTCAATGTAACCCTATTCACAGAATGTGACTTATAACACCTCCTACTTTCATTTTTTTCTTAATTAAATTGGTACATTCTGCAGAGGATTGCAATAAGGAAGGTAACCTTATGTTATTGCAGAAGAGATATTGCTTGAATAAAGAGCCTGCCTGTTTGCATTTTTTATTTTTTACCTTTATTCTGCTCTAATACACCAAGAAACTGATTTAACCTGATATCAGCCTCTTGCAGTCCAATCTACAGTCTGTACAGCCAAGCTCAGAAAAAGGGAGGCAGCACAGGAGCCACCCAAGTGTGCTGAAGTGTAAGAAGTATGATAGGAGAAAAGAGAAAAATGACTGAGAGATGAACTCCTTAAAGCGGTTGTAAACGCCTGTAAACAATTCTGCAAGGTAATATAATATGCTGGTATGCATGGCATACTATCACATTATGAAAGACTTACCTTGAATATAAGCCCTCCAGCAGTGCATTGTCACCACTGACAAAACTTCCATCTTCACCTGGTTTTCCTTGAATAGCTGAGCAAAGATGACCTCCACGGTGCAGAGCTCTGAAGGAATGGCATGACGTCTCCAGTGCCAAACAAGCGAATGTCTCCTAAACAGTGCACATTTAGCAGATATTAATTTTTACCTTCAGGTAAGCATTATTATAAGTCACAAAGCGGAGTTTACTACCGCTTTAATGATTAGCTTCTATTTTTACTCCTGAGTAACAGGGTGGGGAAGAGACCTGTAGGTGAAAGTGAAACTGCAGTTCTGTATTTTATCTGTATTTAGCTGTTTGTCTGGAGTTCAATTTTAATGCACTCACATCTTTCAGCCCATAAAGTGAAACTTTACCAAATTTTACTTCGTCCTCCCTCTGCCTCTTGCACATTAGAAAAAAAATTGTACTGAAAAGTGAACCTTTTTTTTATTGTATGTCACAGACTCTCCCTCTCCCCCCCCTCAAATTTCCTTGATGTGCGCACATGCGCACGTATTCTGCGGAGTCTCTGCCAGAGTACCTTGCATGCATGGGGAATCTGGCGCATGCGCACACACACTGTTGGCATTTCTGCCAAGTCTTTGGGACCTCACCTCATAGCATGTCTAAAAAATCACCAGATTTCTGGTGGCAATGGACTAGAGGGGCAAAGGGAGATCTTCGAACAAGGCAATTCTGAATCTTTGGTCTAATAAGTATGTTTGGTTTTTGTTTGAAGGCAGAGACAGGTACAGTATAACACTTATTGCAAACTGGGGCTCTTCTAAACACTTTTCACCTGGCAGGAGAAAAGCAGCTGCAAATCCGCTCATAAGCACTTGGGCATTTATTAATTTCATTAGCCAGAATATTAATTTATTTTGGCCATTGAAATGAAAAAATGTCCAAGTACTACATGCATTTGAGCATGTCAGCCATTGCTTCTGCCAGAAAGCTCCTACCTTAAACGCACACGTAATGACCTATTTTTTTCTGTCTCTAAACTCTGGCAATGCCTATGATGTGCATGAATGCATAGGTTAACATTGAGGGGAGTTTAGAAGCAGAGAAAATAAAAGTTCAGACGCCTGGAAAAGCAGAACTGTTTAGCTCAAGTGTGCATGGTGCCTTAGGGATTTTTTTTTTGGGGGGGGGGGGGGAATTAGGTTAGGTTATGTTAAGATCCTCTTCAACTCAGGGTGAAAAAATGTAAATTGAAAAAAATACAAGGCGTCCTTTGTTGAATGGTGCCTGTGCCAAGCGACTGATCGCCTGTGACTATAGCAGCATGACAACCACACAGCACAGTACCCAGAAGACAGACGGGATCAACGTAGTGGCGGCTGCTTTCACAGAGTATGGAATAGCTATACTTACATTGATCAAAGTTTGCCCAATGTGACTATGCAAACAAAACCATACCTGGAATTCAGTGGAAAAAAATTATATATAATAATATTGACCCAATTTGTTAACACACATCTATGACACTAGAGGGTGCTGAAGAACTGGAGAGAGGGAGTAAAAGAACGTGAGCGATAGAGAGAGAGGGCTAGAGACAGTTTTGTAAAACAATGATTAAAAACATAATAAAAAAGAATGAAGAGATAAAACCGTAAAAATGTGAACTTAAAGAAAAGCTAAAATACCAATGACTAAACAGCATTACTTTTTTAATTTTAGGAGCATTCATTCATTCTAGAGACATTTTAAATACCAATCTGCAACCCTAGAGGGTGATGAAGACCTGGTGACGTGGTGTCTGTATGTGTCACAGTGTGAAAGAGACTTGGATTTGGAATTAATTTACATTTAAAAGGGTCACCTTATTAAAAAAAAGTGATATTTTAGATGTCATTTCACCAACTACCTAGCTTCTTTTTACTAACTCCAACAGTGACACCCGGGGGGGGGAAAAAACCATTTAGAAACTCGGGCACTGCCCGAGGGCCCGGGGTCAGTAGGGGACCCCATGAGATGCCCATGGTACCTTTTT